AATTATCTGATGTTATTTTTATCAATAAAAAAATGCTTTCAGCATGTTTGAAATACCTTAAAGTGATACGTTGCGTCCTTAAAACGTGAATACTTTAACTGAACAAATAAATATGTAAAATCCCCTGGTCCAGAGCAAAGTCATAAAGATCTGATGTGATTTTACTGTTTGGCCACTAGATGGTGTTGTGTTTCAACTTTTAAAAAACGATTAAATGTGCTTTACCATGTTGAATATTATTCCTTTCTTGAATCAACAGAATTTATTTGTGAAGAGATTTCAAATCAGCACTTTATTTTTTTTCTTAAATTGTTGGTACTGGAATTAGCAGTGATGTTTTTAACCTCTTTCTCTTTTTAGCAAAGTACATCGGCTGTTATGTTGATGACACACAGAAACGGGCTCTTAGAGGGGTTTCCTTTTTTGACTACAAAAAAATGACTGTCTTCCGTTGCCAGGACAACTGCGCTGAGAGGTACGTCAATTGAAACGTTTTATCCCCATGTACATGATAAGGACTTTCTTTTGAATCGTAGGCTATGGTTTATATACTCTGCTTAATGATGTTTTCTGTGCCCTAACCACAAACCACAAGTTTGTTGAAACTTTCTTTGTGCGACTAACAGATAACTGTTCCCCACAAACAAATGATTTCAGGTTTTACTGTTCTTTTAAGATGACATTTCATCCCCACAATGTTGGTAAAAACCTGACTTGCACATCCACACAAACACTCATATTATCATGTACAGATACACATCCATACACATTAAGTCATCATAAACATGTAATTGCTCTCACCCTAGAGTTAATGACCCTTAACTGACAAACATAAGCAATTTCACACTCATTACACTAATTCCCTTTACCCTCTAATTCCCTTTACCCTTGATTAACTGAGAGGGCAGGGTTGTCAGATATGCCGTTTCCTCTGATAGTCCTCTGATGTTTCATGTCACTAAGATTTGTGCTTTAACTATCATTTTCAGGATGTGTGCTCACAAATGTTTAAAAAATGTTTCCGTTTTTAAACTAAAAGGGATAGTTCATAAAAAAAATTAAAAAAAAACGTTAACTCGCCCACATGTCTTTTCAAATCTGAATTAGTTTATTTTTCCTTGGAATACACAAGTAGAGATACAAAAGAATTGCACTGATTTCTCTTTTCTGTGGAATAACAATGAATCAGAACTGAAGCTTTTACATTTGAACAAGGGTGCATTTGCGTAAACATTATGAAAGTAAAGATGGTCATTACGACTAAGTACTAAGGCATATGATAAAAACTGAAGAAACTGATTGAAACAGGAACTTAAATGTACAGGAACCTAAAGAAACTGAAGAAACAAAAAGTTAAGTCATTATTAACTGAACTTTTAAATTTGATGTTTTTAATGAATTGGTTGATTAGTGGTTCTCAACCTTTTTTGGCTCCAAAGCCCCCCATTGTCCAGATAAATTTTCTGTACATTTCTGTAAATAAATAAAATTTCAAATTAAATTTAACTTAGTTGTTGTGTTTTACTGGATTAGGATTAAAGATATGCATTTAAAAAAATATTGTACTCAATTTCTACCTGATAATAACTAGGAAAATGTGTATTTATTATTAAAAAGTGCTTATGGCGCTTGAAGATTTTATTAATTTACATTATTTTCCAAGTCTAGAAATCTCACTTTCAAAATTAGGCTTCCTCGTATATCCAAGTATATCCAAGACCATGGAAATCCTGTTTCTTCAAAGAAAAAAATATATAGTTGTTGAGGGAGAGTGGAAATAAAGTATGCATATCTTGATTTACTTTTTTTTTTTTAAGCTTGTTTTGTTGTAATTTAAGTCATTTTGAGGCTCCCTTGGAGGTTTGCTCCCCCATAGTGGGCTCTGCCCAGTGCCAGAGAACAACAAACATTCATCAATCAGACAAGATCAAGATCAACCCACTGACTCACTGATCCAGTTCCTGCAGTTAACTGCTCACTTGATATAGATTATCAGTAAATATAGTGACTTTTGGGTTTGCTTCTCACCCAATGCAATTGTATGTCCTCAAAAGTTTTGAAATGTCTTATGGTCTAATTTAATGATCACTTTATTCTGCATGTACATCCTTGTTGCATCACCATTCATTGTTATTTCATGAAAATAACAACCAACCAGTTTTTCCACAGTTAAAAAAAAGACATGCAGGTTTGGGGCAACATTAGGGTGAGAAAATGAATTTTCATGTTTGGGTGAACTATTAATGTTGCTTTTCATTTTCATTCCTGTTAGCATTCTTGTTTACCTTCTCTTTATTCAGTTCCTCACCCCCTACATGTTTCCATTGATTCTTAACATCAGTCTGTGACTTGGAAAAGCCACAGAAAGAGAGAGAGGGAGGAAAAAGGGTTGAGGGATTTTGGCGTCAGGACTGCTTTAAAGGGAGTTGTGCAAGTTACAGAAAGAGTGACGAGTGAGAGAGAGAGCCAACACAAGCAGCATCTGTTTGTACTCAGTGCTGTGCTCCCACTCTCAGCGGTCAAGAATCCTGCCACCCATATTGAGGAAATTAGGAGAAGACGCAGCCTGCATAGGGATGAGCCAGAAACTGAAGAAAGACATCCTTATGCTGTCCTCCTTTGATAAAAAATCATGCATGTAAAATTGCCCTCATTCGTCTTGTTTCAAAGGACAGCTCTGTGTTATGGACAACAGTTCTCTGAAGTTTTTAAACCAGAGTGCCAGCATGACACAGTTCTGACCTTTTAAAAATGTGAAAATAAGAGAGGTGGAGAGGAGGGGGGTCGAGGACTGGAGAGCACAGTAACTCTACAGTCCAGCCAGATGTTTTAGATTTAACAGCAAAACCTCAAACGAAGGCACAGTGCAATTTGCAATTGCACATAACAAAATGCACTGATATATTTTACGCTGTTTTGTGAAACCATGACATATTAAAGGCCTGGCAAAACCTTTCCAAGAGTGCTTGGAAACTAAACTTTTCACCTAGTGCATCAGCTGAATCGAAACTGATTTCTTAAGTAAAACAGTGCAACTTGCGTCCAGCTCTGAATTTAAGGAAAGGAAAATTGCTGGTCAGGTCAAGTGTCAGAACAATAAACCCAGTGGCGTAGGCAGAATTTTATTTTTGGTCGGGCCTGGCCAAAAGTGAGCGGGAACTAGTAACTAACGGACAGAGTCAGACTCAATATTCAGGTCATTTCAATCTTTTCTTTGATCCTATTGAAAAATAAACCATAGAACATAGTGGAAGACACGCATAGTAAAACTACCATGTCTCTGTCTCTGTCATGAATGTGCCCATTGTCAACATAACCTAAAATCATTCACAATAACCCCAATCCCTAAATAATTTTGCAGATTACAATAGGCCACTCGAACTATAAAGTTAGAAGCTGTGTACAGCAGAAAGATTCTCTCACTAATGTACGTCTGCTCAACTAATACGAATACAAAACACAGATGTGAACTTGTATCAGTGTCACTTAAGTCATAGAATATCGACATACAAGAGAACTATAGCTACAGCCTGTCCACATACAAAACCTGAGTAGCAGTTAGAACAAAAAAATTAAATACTGCTTTGTTTATCCCGAAACAGAAGCCATTTAAAATTTTATTTGTATATTTTAATTTTCATTTCATCATTCTACAGTAAATGTTCAAAGATTCAAGGCACTGTATTTCCTCATCATATTTCCTCAAATATATTAGATATAATTGAAGTGTATAAAATTATTTTATTCAGAAATGTCATGTTTGTGATTTTTTTTTTATTTGTTCATTCATTATTGAAATTAATAGGCCTACATATTCAGAAACAGGTGCAGTTAGTCGTCTGCGTCAGTCGTAAATATAAAAATAATCTTTGTGAGGACGCCTGGCAACATTCTTGGCAAAATTCTTTAGACACTGAACACTAAACGACTTTAAGCACCAACTGAAAAAACACTGGATGAGCCAAAATACATTCATAATCAGACTGAGAGTAGTGTGTTCCCGGCTTTACAGAATGAAGTGGATCAGCCTGCGCTTGGGACTGAAAAGTCTTACTGTTACTTGTGGGCTGATGGACGGGTTCTCTCAGTGCAAGTTTTTAAAAGTCAAGTTTTTACAGAACATTTTCTATCACACACCTGCAAATTATAGTCTAACTGACAGGGTGAACAAACACGAATTCACAGATGCGACATGCCAGAGACAGCATACAGCTGTCTGTAATGTGTGGCAACACAGCTGTCAATCAAACTCATTAAGAATGATGCAAAAACACATTTTATTTATTTTAGTATTTTAGATGTTATAATAGTTTTGTAATTGTGTTAAAATAGATTAAACGACAATTATTTAACAAATATTATATTTGTATAATAAACTGGAGGGGCCTATTCATCATAGTGGAATGATGCCCGTCAGGCCCCTCTGCTGGCTACGCCCCTGAATAAACCACATGCTTTCTGCCGTTTACAAGATCTCTTTCTACATGCACGTCAATGTGCACCACAAAAGCCCTCAGTATAAAGGAAACGTATTACACTATTCCTTGAAAAGCCTGTTATTAAGTGACTTGTTCATGTGACAAATGTGACAGTTCATGAAACATGAAACACCCCTTGTGCACATACAACTTTTTAGTCACTTCCCCAGATACTTAACTACTAAGCTACATCATGACCCAGTGAACATATATGCAGTAATGCTATTTTTGTCAAAACAATGCCTGTACTAATTTATCCCTGACCTCCCATTGTTTTTTTATGCTTATTTGTTAATTGTTATTGTTTAAAGTGTACTGTCTGGTTTCTGTTTTTTTCTCCATTTCTGTCACCGATGGAGTTTTGGTTCCTTGCCACTGTCACCTTTGGCTTGCTTAGTTGGGGACGTTTAACTGATTGCACAGACACTATTGGAAGACAGCTGAACTGGATGATGACATCACTGAATCATCAGTGAACTGACTTTAGCTGGAAAAATGACTCTCTTTAATTTTCTTCTTGCATTACTGTACTGTAAAGCCGCTTTGACACAATCAGTATTGTATGAAGTGCTATACAAATCTAATACAATTTTTTTTCCCCCTCATATTGTGTCCAGTAATTTTGACCTGGAGAGGATTTTCAAATGTTATCGCATTTGACTAAAACCTATTGACTTTGCTCACACAAGGTATAACAACTTCACATAATGTTTGTACCTTTTCCCTATCAAAAAATGACTGGCCTACAAAAAAATTGCTAATAAATTTCTCATTATGCCATATTATTACCAAATGTTTAATTTTGGAACCGATTGATTGCAGACCTTATTGATCTGAGCTTCTGCACCTCAGTTTTGAGTGAATATTGCCAATATTGTGTTCTGGTTTGTATGCGCCCAGAAAAGTCTATTATACAGTTTCTATTATCTCTTTCTGTTTGTGCATTTTAAAACAATTTTTGCTTGTGTTTTTGCACATTTTGTGCATATTTTGGGCACTTTTATTAACTGTGATAGTGTAGAGAAGTATCAGTGTTGGGAACAGGATAACTAACAGGGCTTCATATCGCACTTCTTCATAAGAACCATAGCTTAGCATGTCGGATCACTGGCAGTCCACTGGCCTGACATTGCAATGAACTGAATGAATAATGTTTTCTCTCTGTCTTGTGTTATTAGGGGTTATCTCTATGCGGGTCTGGAGTTTGGAGCCGAGTGCTACTGTGGCCATAAGATCCAGGCACCCAACGTGTCAGAGAGTGAATGTAATATGGAGTGTAAAGGGGAGAAGAGTAACCTCTGTGGAGGACCTAAACGACTGTCCATATATAGACTGGAGCTGAGCCAGGAGTCGGCCCGCAGATGTGAGTACCCTGACACACACATACACTTGTCTTACACACATGCTTCTGCAAGCCCACACTTGCATGTATCTGTCAATCTCAAAAGTGGAATGGAACACATGACTAATTTCTTACAGGAAACTGGGTAAGCCTTTATGTAAGGTTTCATTTGTTAATATTAACTAGTTCAGTTGACATGAACTAACAATGAACAATACTTCTGCTGCATTTATTAATCTTAAAGTTAATTTCAACATTTATTAATCCACTTTTAATTTAAAAGGTTACATTTGGTTACATTTATTTAATGCGCTGTGAACTAACATGAACAAAAAATGATCAATTGTATTTTTCATATAATTAACAAAGATTAATAAATGCTGTAAAAAATATATTGTCCTAATGTTAACAAATGAGACCTTAATGTTAAGTGTTAACAGAAAGTCTTGTTTATCTTTAAGCTGTTTTTATAATCCAAGCATGATAACAAGAGCGTAGCACAGGGCAAATGGCTCGCCAGTTTCAAGCTCTCGGGGGAGTGATTATTTTTATAATGATTTCTATTGTCTTCTAGTGATTGTGGAAAAAATCTATCACTTTGTTTGTTGCATGTTTGTTTTTTTTCCTATCTCAATCATTTGTGTTTATCTATTGTAACTTTGAAAACTTTTGCCAGTATTGTTTAGCTCCTTCTCACGACATCCATTTTTATAATAAACTATAAATAAAATAAAATTCATATCCATTTCCAGATCTTTATGGCACATCCTTCACCCTTTTCCTCATGTCTCGTGTTTCCTTTATTGATAAAAAAATAGCACAGGCAGAAACTTGTGACATTCCACCCTGTGTGTCCTGAATAAGCACTTTTCTCATGTGACAGGATGTCTATGTGCGTATGTGATAAACACTGCAAGCGAAAACAGTAGTTGTGCAGGAACAACTTAACCTTTGATAAAACCATTGCTGGCCCGAGGATTTCTTAAATTAATTGATAAAAGACAATTTCCATTTTTTTAATCAGTCGGTCAAATAACATTTACAAAACAGTAGCTGGTGAGGTTTTCACAGACAAGCAACACTCCCATTTTCCTCAGAAAATGATATATATGTAGTTGTTTTTGTCACTTTTACCTTTTAAAAATTCATATTTATTTTGCTTTTTAGATGGGAGTGCCATCTTCAAGGGATGTTTTAAGAGGCCAGACAACGTGACCCTGGCGCTTCCTGCTAGTGCCGTTATTAAAAACATGTCAGTGGACAAGTGTGTTGACATGTGCACAGAGAAAGTGAGTATGCATGCATGATCTGCGTCTGGTATCTCTCATATTACTGTGTTTATAGTCTATCCTATATGATCTCTTCCTTTGTCTGTCATAGGAATTCTCTCTGGCAGCCTTGGCTGGTGAAAAATGTCACTGTGGCTTTCCTACTCCTCTCTTCACCCTGCATGACCATGAGGATGAGGAGCTGTGTCTCCAGCGCTGTGCAGGAGAAGACTTCGAGAACTGTGGAAACAATGACTTCTTTGTAGTGTACCAGACCCAAGTGCAAGGTAACATTAGCTTGTTTGGACCAAAACAATGTGCTCAAGCCAACGCACAGGCAGCCCACATGCACAATATTTTTCCTTCTTTAGGACAACAAACATGTCAGGTCACTATAGAAGCACAAAATATAGCCTAGGTTGTGCTGCTTAAGCACATTCAGTCTTCACAGTGTTTCAAATGTGTGATGAGCTCTATGTGAGCTCTTGTGGCTGCTTATCATGGTCGACCCTCACGTTTGCTAAATTTATACTTCCTCTACACTTCCTCCGAGTTTGCTGTCAAAGTAAGTAAACAGTTTGCTTTTTTTTGCTTTGGTTTCAACAGTGGTCAAAGGTGATGGCTTCAGCCAAAGAATATTTGGCACTAAATTGATAGAATACATCATGCATTTACAGATATCTGCAGATATAAAATATAGATGACCGTTTCAGGACCCTTATAAAAATATTTTGGGTTAAGCATTTGGTGCCTAATGATTATTGCAAAAAAAAAAAAAAAAGACAACATTTTGTTCTTAGAATTCTGTCTTGACTAACATTATCTGTGTAAATTAATGAACACAAAGCCACAAGGACAACAAAGATTTACAGCTTTACAGGTTATTTACAGCTTTACACAGATAAGGTTAGTAAGCAAATTTATCGCACTGTAACTGTTAAAGGAACACTCCACTATTTTGGAAAATAGGCTCATTTTCCAACTCCCCTAGAGTTAAACTTTGCTGCCGTACCATGGGTGCAGCAGGCGCAATGATATTATGCAGCACCTGAAAATAGTCCCCAGCTAGGTGGTAACTTCCAATAAGCCTATTTTTAGGCGCTGCGTAATATCATTGAATAGTGGAGTGTTCCTTTAACACGCATCATCTCATTTCCTCTTCAGTTTGATAGTCATCCATTCTGTGGTGCAAATTATGAATGGTCATCATGTACTGCTTCAAACCGAATTTGAAATGTAAGAAAGACAACATTTGAAAAGACTGAATCAGATTGTTTTCAAGAGCAGTTTCTAAAATCAACTTGTCTCACTTCATCAAAATAGCAGCTTATGTTCATGGTGATATGTGCATCATAAGCCTTCCCTCTGTTTATCACACCGCTCAAACCTGATTGAGACATTTTACCTGTCTTTTAAGGAATGCAGAGATTCTGTGATTTGAAGACTTATTTTTATTTTTGCATATTGTAACGGTCACTTAGAGCAGTTATTGTAATTTGTGGAAGAATGACAACTGCGCATGTGCATACAATGTGTGCCTGTAAGATAGATGGTAGGCTTGCCGCGATAGACGGTGCTGACGGTTATACCGGTGTTAAGCCGCAACACCGGTTATGTCACTTGCCCACCACGGCACCGACCCCCACCGTCGTTTTGATTTTTTATAGTAATAAAAATCATTTAGTTCAGCAAAAGAACAGACACTACTAAGCTATTTAAAAGCGAAGGAAAGCAAGGAAAAGAGGGGAAATTCAAACGAACTAAAAACGAACAATTGCTTTACGCCGAATTGCCGCTATTTGAAAGTGAAAGTAAAATGCGCACGCAGCTTTGAAGGAAAGCTAGGAAAAGAAGGGAACGCCTCCGCCCCCACGGTGATATCGGTATTACCGGTGTTGTCACGCATCGATTTACTGGTGGGAAAATTTCCTCACCGTCACAACCCTAGTAGAAGGTGAGCAGGAGAAAAGATAACCACTCTGCAGACTTTAGTTTCTCTTCCGTTTATTTTCCATCTTTCTGTTCGTGACCTAAGTTGAATGTTTATTTGTATACTTTTACTCACTCAAACCCCTTTGTATGTGGATGAGTGGGATGACGCTTAAGTCAATTTAATAAACCTGGGGGAAATACGCCAGCTCTTGTCTCTCGTGCATCTTTTCCTCCAACGGCACACATTTGATTTTTCTCTCTGGGCAATTGAACATTTCTACTCTGCGGTTACAAAATGTCAGCTTTGAGGTCAGAAGTATATATGCTAATATACTTGCTTCTCAATCAGTTTCATGGAAACTTTAATGAAACTTAAGGATTTTTTCACCTCAGTATCTTATGTTTGGTCTGATATGTGTTCTTCATCTCTACAGATAATCGTTGTTTGGACCGGCGCTTTTTGCCCTCTCGATCCAAGCACTCAGTGGCACTAGCTAGTTTCCCAGGCGCAGGGAATACATGGGCCCGTCACCTTATTGAACTGGCTACGGGTTACTACTCTGGGAGCTACTACTTTGATGGCTCACTGTACAACAAAGGTTAACTTAACTTTCTGTTCTCCATAAGGCCATCTTTTTCATCTCTTGCTTGCTGATGGTCTTCCTCTCTCTTTGATTTCTCTGCATGTGCAGGTTTTAAAGGGGAGAGAGATCACTGGCGCAGTGGTAGAACCATATGTATCAAGACCCATGAGAGCGGCAGGAAGGAGATTGAGGCCTTTGACGCCAGCATTCTCATGATCCGGAACCCTTATAAAGCCCTCATGGCAGAATTTAACCGAAAGTATGGTGGCCATATTGGATTTGCCTCTCAAGCTCATTGGAGGGGGACAGGTGAGAGATGAAAGCTTGTTCTAAAGCCTTGTGATTACTCTACTTAGTGCGCAATACATACAGCAGTACTTGCATAAAGCACATAAGAAATGTGCATGTTATTGCCTCTGTTAAAGAAATAGTTTAGCCAAAATGAAAGTTTACTGAAAATGTACTCACCCTCAGGCCATCCAAGATGTAGATAAGTTTGTTTCTTCATCAGAACAGATTTGGAGAAATGTAGCATTATATCACTTGCTCACCAATGGATCCTCTGCAGTGAATGGGTGCCGTCAGAATGAGAGTCCAAACAGCTGATCAAAACATCACAATGATTTACAAGTAATCCACACGACTCTAGTCTACCAATTAATGTCTTGTGATGTGAAAAGCTGCGTCTTTGTAAGAAACAAATCTATCATTAAGGTGTATTAGGTTTAAATAATCTCTTCTGGCCAAAATTCATAATAATGCATAATAATTAATTATAATTATAAATTATATAACTTAATAATAATAAAAATAAATCATAATAATAATAATGTCCCTGTTGTCCTCTCACATCCAAATCCACTGACATATTCGATAAAACTGTTTTGGACTGTTTTCACTTGTAAACAGTGCTTGATCTGTGCATATTTTTCTCCTGATTCAGATGAGATGACTTTTCACTGGAGAAAGCAATATTATGCATAGAGGAATATTTTAGCTGGAAACAATGGTTTGACGTTAAAAACGTCTTAATGTATTTGTTTATTACAAACACACAGCTTTTCCCTTCACTGGAGTCGTGTGGATTACTTGTGGGTTATTGTGATCCACTGTTTGGACTCTCATTCTGACGGCACCCATTCACTGCAGAGGATCCATTGGTGAGCATGTGATGTGATGCTAAATTTCTGTAAATCTATTCCGATGAAGAAAGAAATTTGTCAACACCTTGAATGACCTGAGAGTAAGTACATTTTCAGCAAATTTTCATTTTTGGGCAAACTATTCCTTTAACTATACTGATATTTTTTCCCTATTATAATTCGTCCAGCTCCTCTTTCATATACACACTCTGGTTTTACATTATTTTTTTGTCTTCACTCACCTCATCATCAGAATATTATCTGTATCTAAGGCCAGTTTGGTAGGCTAACAGCCCAGTGTTTATAATCAGGCTAAATGTTTAAAAGAACTTCTGTTTTGTTCTTGATGTTGTCATTAGTCTGAGGGTTAAACTTAGTTGCTGTACTGCAGTCAAGAGTGTGCGCTTATCCGACACGAAAGCCGGGATTGTTTTTTAATGTGGTTTTGTTGAACCTTTCCCCTTTTAACATTGTATGAGAAACATCCTTAAGACTAATGCAGAGAAACTGATGCTCATGTTTAGGTACATGAATCTATTATTGGGCACCAAATACAGGTTTTTGGTGTTTACATTTTGAATAGTTAGTGGTTCTAACCATTAAACCAAAACATATTTTACTTTCAGTTAATGTAATTTAATTTTACTAAGATGTTGTTGCATTTATCAAAAGTTTGTAAACTATGGTAGTAGTCGGTAAATAGATTGTGCAAAGTTGTCTTTACCCCAATGAAGTCCATTTTTAAGCAATGTTTCCCTCTTGTTCTGCTTCTTTACAATATTTTTTTCCCACGAAGAAGCAGATGCTTGTGACATTTTGGTGTCTTGTTTTTTTTAAATTAGCATCTTTGTGTTTTTGTTTCATTTTTGATCATTTCTATGAAGTTAGCTTTGTTTTTAACACATTTTAACATTTAACACTTCATGTTCCTCAGTTATTGTTTCACTGTTCTTGTTGCCGTGCCAACATGCTTATTAATTCTTTCTGATGCGTCACACTAACCAAAACGCAGAAGCATCTAAAAAAAAAAATCTGCATTTTTTGCTTCTTCCTTTTGTATTCCATTCTTTGTACATCCTCCAACATCATGATTATGATAATTTCATTCAATTTGCGGGAAAAGTCATTAGCTCTTCATTAGCTATTGTATTGTTTTCTTTCTCTCAACTGATGAGAATCAGCAGAAAATTACATTCTATTACTTGAATACAAATAAGTGCATCACTTCGGAGTATGATTGACTTCTGCCTATTCATTTCAGAAAAGTGCTGTCACTGATTAAAAATATACTTTTGCAGCTCCACTATTGCAGCCTTTACAAAAACGCCAAGTTGTTTTTGGTACATTTGTCTGGTATGTCTGGCACATTTGTGCAGTGCTGTTACACATCTGCAGATATGTGTCAAGTTTTTCTAATGCACTAAATAGGGCTGCACGATAAATCGCATGCGATATTTAACGCGCATCTTGTCAGAAAGCCAGTTCTGTAATCAGCGGTAAATCTCCATCACCTGCGGGCTTTCACATGGAGCAGCATTTACTACACAGAGCCGTTGTTCACTGACGAGCTGCGCAAAAAATCGCGCGAATATGAACGTGGTTTTGCGCAGCTCAAATCTTAGGCACTATGGCACAGCATGTTCCTCAAGATGTTATTGTTGAAGAAGTTCAACTCTTTCATTCTCTCTCAATCAGAGTGGCCAGAGTTTGTGAAGAACTATGCTCCATGGTGGGCATCCCACACACTAGACTGGCTGAAATATGGGAAGAAAGTTCAAGTGGTACACTTTGAGGATTTAAAACGGGACCTTTTCTCTCAGTTAAAAGGCATGATCATCTTTCTGGGTCTGGAAGTCTCAGAGGACCGCCTGCTGTGTGTGGAAGCACAGAAAGATGGGAACTTCAAACGCTCTGGGCTGAGGAAGCTTGAATATGACCCTTATACGGCAGAGATGCGTGCCACAATTGGCGGGCTAATTAGGACTGTGGACACAGCACTCAGAAAGAGAAACCTGTCTGGTGTACCTGAGGAGTACAGGCCCAGATGATACTCCTCTCTTCACTTATGCTTTTTTTTTTCTTCACAACACATTTTCCTTGTTTGCTTTCAGTTTTAAGAATGGTGTGTATTGCGGAAATGAACTGCTAAAAAACTGTTCGTCCTTTCATTAATAATCTACACTACATAGTAAGACATGGGCTTGTGCAACAATTTGGCTTTGAGTTTAATCACCATGGATCCATCTTCCTTAGGCCAATATAAGTGTGTGGTAACTACAAATTCAGTTCAGTCATTAAGAGAAATGACTGTTCACACTTCTTATGAAAGTGTCTATTGCCATCAAGACATCCGGGACAGCTGTTTAGACACTACTGGACTCCCTTAAGCACTTCAGCCTCATTGGGAATATATGGACAGCGATTTCATTTTTAACATCTGAACCCCAGCTTCCTGTTACCACAAATATCTGGAAATTGCCTTCAGATGTTATGATGCTTCTTAAAACTGATCAGTGAAATAGTTATATGGGCAACAAAAATCCTCAAGATATACCACGTGTATTAGATAAATGCATGGGCAACTCGAAAACACGTTATCTGGTACTTGCCTTCAGTGATTTGCAGGCAAATTGCAGCCCTTATTGAGCTATCGATTTAAATGAAAGCAACCAAGTTCTTCTGTTTTGTGTTTAGAGCACTTTTAAGTTGAGATTGTTTCATCAACTTTTTTTCTTACTGAGGTTTTAAGGTGTATTTGCAGTGGATGATAAAAAAAGAAAAGAAAAAAACATTTCACAGTGTGCTCACAAAGTAAAAGAAATGGGGGCTTCTTGTAAATTGCTTAAAATGACATTGACTGACCCTTTACCGCTTTTCTCAATCACAATTATTTTAATCTGTTAAAGGGATACTGAAGTTGACCCCAAAATGAAAATTCATTCAGTTATTTATGTTTTTGACAGACATGGTCTAAAACACAGCTCTTACATGAGAGGAGTTGTGTATCAATATTTGTAATCACGTGAGTAAATGATGACAATTTTCATTTTTGGATGAACGATGCTTTTATGCAAAAAAAAAAAAACCTTCTTCACTAATTTATGTCCCAGGTTAGACTTTGAGAGTAGTTGCACTGCGTACTGTGTGAGGCGCATCCCCACAAAGTCAAATAATTCCTTTCAAAATATCATTAGGTGTCAGGTTTTGGATGCAATTATATACTTGTTCCCTGCATAAATGTTCAGAATAGTTATTTTTGTTTTTAGTGTTTTAATTGCAGGAGTTTTTATTCAAAACAGCAAATCAGCTTTATAATATATAAAATAATCTTGAAGGAGTGAAGCAATGTGCAAAAGAGACAAAAAGCACCTTGCGGGTAAATTTCTGCTTGTCAGCTAGAGTCCTAACAAATAACATTCAATATATGTAAATCCACATATATATTTTTGTAATGCTCACAAGGAGAATGACTTTAAAGGACAAAGTGTCACCTATATTTTTGAAAAGGCTTTTAAATTTGAGCATTACATGATTTACATTTCGAAAAGGAACAAACTGAAGTGTCTTTCTGAATGTATTTTGTATGGAGTGAATGCACGGAATTTCTACCAAATAATTATGGAAATCAAAGAATACATTGCCAGCAATGTAAAGGAAATTAAATGATTGCAACAAGATTTTTATTATAATTGTAAGCTGAGAGTGTGAGTATGAGGAAAAGTTTTGCACTTTGGATGATGTGTCGGATGTCCTGATCAATAAATTGTTAAGCCCCAAATTCTCAGAGGCCCAACGTTGATTTATATGTAGTTGCATAGTTTTATATTTATTCATGTATTTATTTATTTAGATTTTCTGTGTGCATTTGGTGAAATTGTTGGTTTTCATGGAAAATGCTTTGGGTCTACCAAGTTGCCCAACCAATGGCAGAAGGGTGGAGTGTTTGGGGAAAGAAAAAAAACAAACAAACATTATTTATGCAATTGTATTAGTTGCTAATGCCGTAAAAATGGTGCACTTCACCTTTAAATCTCTCTTTACAGCTCTATTTACATTGTATTTTAAATGCTGGTTATTTTGCAACTTCCTAGAATCAGAGTTAATGGGTTTCAGGAAATAGCACAAAGAAACAAGTTTCCAGGCTGCAACGCCTTACTGAGGACAAACATACTTTCTGAAACACTGCATCAAATCATAAATATTCAAAAGTCTTAGGTTAGCCCAAGTTTTACATCTACTTGGCAACTCATGGTAGGATTTATTTCCAAACACTAGTCAGTCTGTTTTACTTGGCAGTAATAAAATGAACCGCTGCTGTACACTAAATGGTCAAAACCAATTCAAGACTGTTTTGTGGATCTTTTTGACTGGTCATTTGTCAAAATGACACAGAAACAACAAATGCATGCCAAGGCAACTAGGTTTTAAACTATTGGCTTAGATTTTTACATTTTATCACATTGCAACCATTTGAGTTGCAGCCTGCAGCTATGCATCTGACTAATTTATTGTTAGGAAGTGTTTTTTTACATGAAAATGCTAATCAGTTATATAAATCTATGAATATGAAATAAAGCGTAAATTACTAAATGCATGATGCATATTTATTTTTGTAATGCTTATAAAGCAGGAAGTATTGAAAGATAGGAAGTATCAAATAATGTTTACCATTTCAAAAACGAATAATGCTGAAGTGTCTTTCGAATGTGTTGTGTACGGATTTAATTTAGGCATATTAAATAATTAAGAGAATTACCAGCACTTAAAGAAACGGAATGGTTAGAACAAGATTTTTATTATATATTTTTATGCATATGTTACCAAAACAAAGAGAGAGAGAGATGTAGAGCATGACAACATTTGTTGATCTTGCCCAAATGATATTTAATACATTCAGTACATTCTTTTATACCCCCCACCCCCATACAGTGGGTACGGAAAGTATTCAGACCCCCTTAAATTTTTCACTCTTTGTTATATTGCAGCCATTTGCTAAAATCATTTAAGTTAATTTTTTTTCCTCATTAATGTACACACAGCACCCCATATTGACAGAAAAACACAGAATTGTTGACATTTTTGCAAATTTATTAAAAAAGAAAATCTGAATACTTTCCGTACCCACTGTATATTTATGTATATGTGTTAATCAGCATCATGTGTTAAACATGCACAAATGATAAGATAAAAACAGTAAATATTTAATAGCTGTCATCAAGAAATCATTAAGTAAAGTGGCATTTTAATTTACAATGACTTGTAAAGTAGCTTTTATTGAACCTCTATTTACATTTATTTATTCTTTTTTTTTCTTTAGCTTGTAAAATCTATTTGTAAATTTCCAAACTCAAACATGCAACAGACTAAACAATTGCATTACTTGTTAATGCTGTCGCATTACTTGTTAATGATGTCGTTTCTATAGGCCAGCGTTTTCCAATCACACTTGGAAGAGAATAAAGAGAAATATCGGTTACACTTTACTTGAAGGGGTGTGCATAAGACTGACATGACACCTTCATAATCATGACATGACACCTACATAATCATGACATGACACATGTCATGAATATGAAGGTTTTTTCTTTAGTCCATGACTCGTGTTAAAATTTCAGACAGCAGTGGAAAGTCTGTTATCCACAGAATTGGTAATTGAAGTTGCTCTGAAAGCACTTCGGGTCTCTTCATCAATGGCGCTCTCAATCTTCGAAAGAAAGGAATAGCATTTCTTCTTTAAGTCCTTGGCCATGAATGCATAGAGGAACGGGTTTAGAAAGCTGTTTGCACTGGCGAGGGTAGCAGATACTTTTTGAGCTGTGTAAAAGGCAGAGTTGTGCTCAGATCTGTCCAACTCTAAAACAGAAACTATCTGAAATGGCAACCAACAGATGAAAAAAGTTGCGATCAGAAATGCCATGATCTTGTAGGGCTTGGTGGATTTGGACATTTGGTTTGCTCTAAGTTTACAGATCAGGATGGTGTAACAGGTGAAAATGGTCAGGAATGGAATCAAAAACCCAAAAGTAAAGCGCATGAACACGACGGTTTTGTGGTGATCCCCATATTTGCTGTAGCATTTTTCTGTTGATTCATTTTGAATCTCTCTGAATTTGGCAGATGGAATGCTAAGCAAAGAAGACACAAACCAAGCCAACACAACAACTAAAGAAGCTTTCTGTACAGTGCGTTGATTCTGGGCCCAGACGGGAAACTTGACGGTGATGCAGCGATCCACACTTATGATGACCAGGATGAAAATGCTGCTGTACATATTGAGGGTCATAACAAAAGCGTTGAACTTGCACAGGAAGAGCCCAAAGATCCAGCTGTTCTTAACTATGTTGTCAATGGTGAAAGGAAGAGTAGCACAGAAAATTAAATCAGACAAAACCAGACTCAGGTACCAAGTGGTGTTCACTGACTTCTTCATCTTAAAACCAGTAATCCAGATCACTGCACCATTTCCAGTGATGCCAAGAAGGAATATGATCACATTAAAGATCACTGTGATTACACATGCTGCTTCCCTGCAGTATCCAGGATGTAAGTCCTCATGAAGTTGTTTTTCTGTCACATGGCTGTCTTTAGTTAACGCTTGTATATCATCATAATTTGGATGTACAGTTGAAGTCATTGTAACTTCTATTATAACTGAATAGGAAGCAGAATTCTGTAACAAAAACAACAAACAATTTATCCAACTACATTTAAAGTGTAGTCATTTTGCATATTTTTAAAATGACTAAAGTGGCTGTGCAAAAACATGGCACTATTACCACACAATCGATGCAGAACGTCTCTGATTCAACTGCCTTTCCTATAATTTCCATCAAGTTATTTGAGATATTAAAATGAGTTTTCAGCACATTGCAGATTTTGTTTTTTTTGTTTTTGCTTTGCTTTGTTTTGTTTTGTTTTCTACAGTTAACCAATAGATAATTTTCATTGGCAGTCTCTTGGCGGGTCACTATTTAAAAAAATAACAGAACAAATTCTGCATGATGCATACAATATATTTCTGATCAGTCCTTTTCTGACATGCAGAACTGTCAGAAAAGGCCAGTAAAAAGCACAATGCTAGCAGAATTCTCC